TATGGTAGCAAGAAAACAGGCAGGATGTGCTTGAGACCACTCTGGTAGGGGTGGGTTCAAAAAACCGAAAAAAAAATCAAACCGAAAGAAAAAAAAATTGAACTAAACCGAATCCCTTTACACTTTATGAATGTATGCCCATGATGATTCTTTTGTGAAACTTTGTTGCCAAGTTTGAAACTAACCTAGGGCTTTTTCAAGGAGCATACTTGGTTCAATTAGGGAGGATATTTCATTAGTTATAGAGAAAAGTTTTGGAAGAGCTTCTCTATTTGTTTGCTTTTTGAATGGATACGTTGATCATTTTTCTTTGCAATTGAGGTTGTTGACAGAATATGATTGGTTTATATGATCTTGTATATATACAACTACCTTCTCATTTTTCACTTTCCTTATTTTCTTATTATTAGTCTACCAATGCAAGCCTCTTTTCTAAATTCCATCTAAACAAAAAAGGATCAAGTGTTATAAAATAAAATAAAATAAACCGAAACCGAACAGAGCAAAACCAAACCCAGAAGAACTGAACCCAAAAAGAATAGAAAGAAAATTGAACCGAACCAAAGTTTTGGTTCGGTTTCGGTTTTGGCAAAAAACCTAACCGAATGAAACCAAATCCACCCCTACAGTATGGCCCCTTAGTGGCTCCACCTCTGACACATACTTTAAATTTCGACAAGGGTGAGTATCAGATACCTACAGGCTACACCCACGATACTCCCATGATACCTTTCAATACGTATTAGATACTTAGTTTGGAGTATCCTTTACTGAATTATGTTAATCGTAGTAGTTGACCAAATGATGACACTTCCAAACAATTGTTAATTTGTTGTATCCTAAGTCAATTCTATATATCGTTCTCTGAAGCTCTGTGAATAGAACGATCACCCCTTGGAGTTTGGACTGTGTTTTAACTTGGAGTGCACATTTATCTGTATGCAGATCTTGGCCCTTCTTCCCATTGGTTTTGCAGTGTTCTTGGTTCACTTGGCCACCATCCCCATCACGGGAACTGGCATCAACCCAGCCAGGAGTCTTGGAGCCGCCATTGTCTACAACAAGGAGCTCGCTTGGGATGACCACGTAATTGAACTAATCAAAACTAATTAGATCATTCTGTAATTGATTTTCGATTTATTAATGACGAGATTCATAATCCAATCTGTTCTGTTTGCAGTGGATCTTCTGGGTTGGACCATTCATTGGTGCTGCTCTTGCAGCTATCTACCACCAGATGGTCATCAGGCCGTTCCCTTCAGGTCCAGGGGCTAATTTTCTTCCAGAGCTATGGTGTATCTCAATCTGTCCCCTCTTCTCCTTTTTCGGTGCCGCCTTCTCTCCTTTATTGCTTTTTTTTATGAGAAAAATTTGTGTACATTAAGTTAATCATGTACTCAAAGTTTGTGACATGTTTTGAATGGAGGATTCTTTTATGGGTTAAAATTTATGTAGCAAAGTGATTGTTTTTTTTCTCTTCTCGTGTTTTTATTCTTAAACTGGCATTGTTGATGGGCTGGGTCAGTTCGAAAATAACACGACACAATTCGAGAATTCGACTCGAACACGATTAGGGAAACCCGAACCGAAATGTTTTTATTTATTTATTTATTTTTGGTTATATTTATTACAATCAATATTATTAATTTAATTTTCAAGAGAGAGAGAGAGTTTGAACATGTTATGCACTAACAGTTCTAATCATCAGTGGAATCCATCACTTACAACACGACTTGGCTGTTAATTGCCTCAGTTTTTCCAAACTATAAGATGATGAAAAACAAAAAGAGAAATTTTTATTCGAACCTATTGCATGATTACCATCAAGTATACGATAAGATCAACAATAAAACTAAAATTTATCAAGACTCACACCCAATAATTAAATCCTAGCTTCAAGCAATATTTATCCTACATCCATTCCAGCTAAAACCCTAAGAGATCTTATAGAGAAAACAAGCTTTTGTTTTTTTTATTTTTTTATTGATGGATGATGATTTTGAAGTTTTAAATCCTCCAAGGTATGAATTGACTTATGCAATTTTTTTTCATTTGATTTCAATTTTTTTAGAATTGAGAAGAAAGGTTTTTAGGTTTCAATTAACAACCATCAACACTAGAAGTTGAAAAGATGAATTACTGTGTTTCACTATGTAAATGGTGGTGAAACCTCCCCAGCCAATTTGGTTTCCTCGAATCCACTCCACCATGGTTGAAAATCTTGGGATAACCTAAAGAAACAAGGATTTGCTACCACTTACGAAGATACATGAGCATGTTGTTTGCTACCACTTACCTTAGATCATGGAATAATTTAAAGTTGGTTCATTAGGAGGCAGCAGGTAACACAACAAAGAGACACCAAAATACAAACAAATTAGCAACAACAGCCATGGGAGCCATGGTGGTACGCAGCTCCAGCAATGGGGGCACATCATCTTAAGAAATTCCATTAATTTCTACACGCCATAATGGTGTACTACATCAGCTACGACGTAATGCTGTATTACATTAACAAAATGGATGTAAAAATAAATTTACATGAGGAATTGAGTTTGTGAGGATGATTTGGTAATAAATTTGGGTTTAAAGAGATATTAGTTTTTTAATTAAAAATAATATGAGTGTAGAGAGTAAAAGAGATTATAAGTGTTTAAATAAAATTTCCCAAACCATGACACAGATAACCTGTTTAATTCTTAGATGTATAAATTTGACAAGTCACACAATAAGTCAGTCATAATAATATGGTACGAACACGCCTTTATGATAATCAAATTTAAAACTTTTCACTTAAAAATGAATATCACTAAATCATAATGTACATATATTATGTTCCAACCCTATTGGTGACTAAGCTAACGTATAATCTAAAAAATCTATGGTTTGAAAAAAAAAATCATAATAAATATATATATATATATATATATATATATATCTCTACCAAAATCCTATGAAATTATCACTTTAACCATCTAATTAAAACAAAACATGAATAAGAAAATATGGGGCAGAAATGTAATTTCACACAACCAAATTTTGTTTTTTTTTTTTTTTTCAAAGCCTCACCTACATGTAATCCTAACATATCTCTAATTAAAAAAAAAAAAAAAAAATCCCACTCCTACATTTTCCATCACTCTCTTCCTCTCTCCTTCTATTTCACCAAAAAAAAAAAAAAAAAAATCTCACGTACTTTGTGTGTGCTATGCTAGTTAAATATAAAATGTTATCATCAATAAAACTTCCACTCAAGCGTGCCTTCATTATATTTCACCAAGTTATAGTGACATCTGCGTCTATTAGTTATATATATATATATATATATATATGTATTATTAAATATAATATGTTATCATCAATAAAACTTCCACTCAACCGTGCCTCCATTATATTTCACCAAGTTATAGTGACATCTGCGTCTGTTTTTCAACATGCCCTTCCACAAGAGATCTCCTTCCATCATACTAGCTTTTAAGCACGTGCTCACACATGTGCAAAATATATTTTTTGAATTACGGCGCACTACGCTCAACTTACACATTTTATTATAGATGCTACATGCTCCGGAAGATCTTTTATGTATCTTCAAAGTCCAAACCACATGTTTGGCAAGAGTCTCATTTTTTCATTACGGGATCAATTTTCATTACAAAAACTATGAAACAATCTTGTTGCATTGTAAGAGGGTTTGAACTAAATGAATAATATTAGACTATGTTAGAAGAAACTCGTGGATATTCCATGTAATAGTGAGATACTAATTTAATTATAAAAAAAAAAAAACTTTTTATGAAAAAAAAAAACCATTGTCGTCATGACGAAATTACTCCTGTATTATTTGATGCATTATTTTGGGTTACTTTTGAACTTGTTTTGAACGTGTTTAAAAATAGTGAAAATAATATTTAATAAACAACTAATTGTATGATGATTCGATACAACAATTTAAACTTTACATACTAAGTCATAGACTCATAGCTCTTATAAATTCAAAGGCTATACGCGTGCAAAAGAATTTTTTTTTTATTACCGGCACTACGTGCCTCTTAAGATATTTTGAATGTGTTTAAAAATAGAGAAAATAATATTTAATAAACAACTGATTATATGATGATTCGATACAATAATTACAACTTTACATAGTAACTCATAACTCTTATAAATTCAAAGAGTTGTAAAATTGGGACATGCTCAACGGCTCCATTTTTTTTTTCTTTTCCTTTTGGCACCATCACACAACCTTCATGATTTTTCTTATTTTTTTGTTATATTTTCCTTTCTTCTTCATGTAGGCATCAACAACTTTCACTCATCCTTTTATTTTTTTTATTATTTTCTTTCTTCCCACTTATATTTAAATGGACGAGGCGTTGGTGCCCACCTAAGAAGAAAGAAAAAGAAAAAGGAATGATGGTGATATGCATGCAACCATTTGACAAAATTGCCCATGCATTTTTTTTATGCATTCGTTTGGGATGCTTTTGAATTTTTTGTTTGAAAGGCATTTGTGTCCTATTAATTTTTAGTGAAGTTGTGACCTCAAAAATCGGGATGCTGACTTTATGTATAGAACCCCAAAATGGGCTGCTGGATTTATATATAGAATTCCAAAATGGGGCTGTTAGTTATATATATATATATATGATAAAGGCGTGGCTTGAAATGGGGCTGCTGGTTTTATATATGGAAATTTTCACAAAAAAGTTTACAATACTGTTAATTTTAACGAAAAATCATATTTTTACACTAAAAAATCAAACTTGTTATTATTTATTTTACTCTTTATTTTATTTTTATAATTAAAACTTAAAGTTTTCAAATCATTTTTATTATTTTTTATTTTATATATAGATATAAGATATAAATATAATATACATAAAAGATTCCACACATCAAATCAAACTCCCTCTTCGAACGCATTAATCATCAAATCACATTCGTACAACCACATCGAACGTCTATCACGCCAGTGGTAGACCATCAGATCATAGTATGTTCTCGTCGGGGCCCACTCAATACTTAGAAAAATCATCATATAAACCGCAAATTTTACATAGTCCAACGTCAGTGGTTGTCTGTCAGATTTCCATGTTGTGTTTGGAAGTCTTGCACTGTGAAATTGTTTCACCAGATTCAATTGATTTGGTATAATCTGTCTGAGTGAGTGACCAAGATCTTGCAAAAAAAAATGTGGATATTTGGGTGGAAAGGGCCGTCTGGATTTTCAGCCCGTTCTACTGCAGAGGAAGTTACTCAGGGAATTGATGGAACCGGTCTCACTGCAATCGTTACAGGTTTTCTCCTTTCTGTTAAATTCATCATCTTCCTTCATTCTTTTCATCTGCTTTTCTTTTCCTTCATTTTGTTTGGTAGTCGCTATTATTTCATATCGCATCTTACTATCATGTGTTTGGTTGCTGAGAAAATTACCGGAAAAGAGGAAAGAAAGCTGGTTTAGTCGTATTTGATTTCATACTATCGTTTGAGCATCCAAGGGTGGTTTCTTTTGGCAACCCAGTTGGATTTGGCTGTGTCTGATTGAAGCTGGCGAGGTTTAGGATCAGTTGACGTTTGTATTTTTTTTTCCTGTCGGTTACTATGTTTTTGGCTCGAAAATGTAAATTATGTTGATTATTGTTCTACTTTATGTTCATTTGAATCATGATGTTTGAGGTTTTGGAGGGTGATCAGTTCGATGAAGCTAAAAATATACCGCTTAGGGTTGAAACATTATTGTTAAGAACATAAAAAATTCTGAAGTAAATGGTGGTGATCAAGAAAATATTTTATGTCAGTTTCCGATGAACTTATCGTGACAGATTACGAAATTTATTCATCGGAAAATCCTGACGTTGACTTACTGAGAGGTTTTATGACCTCCCTTTGCTTATGAATTTGGGGATTAGTGAAATTTTAAATGTTTTGCCTTTTTCAGTTCTAAGACTGTCTAATTTCAGGAGCATCGAGTGGTCTTGGTTTGGAGACAACACGAGTTCTAGCCTTGCGTGGTGTTCATGTCGTAATGGCAGTAAGGAATACTGATGCTGGTAGGAATGTTAAAGAGGAAATACTTAAGGAAATCCCCACGGCCAAAATCGATGTCATGGAGCTTGATCTCAGCTCAATGGCATCAGTTAGGAAGTTTGCATCGGAATACAACTCATCTGGTCGACCATTGCATATTCTGATGTAAGACATCTGAATTGGACTGCTGAATATAACTCAGTTGCTACTTGTGACTACATGTGTCTCTGTGTGTTTGCATACACTCTTGGTTGTGTGCCTTTGGATTGATGATTGTTGTTGCTAATTTCTCCTCTGTGTTTGTTTGAAGTAATAATGCAGGGGTTATGGCAACTCCGTTCATGCTTTCAAAAGACAACATTGAAATGCAGTTTGCAACCAATCATTTAGGTATTTAAAACATAAAATTCTCTTGATTTCTCTCTAGGATGTGAAAATCTTTTCCATGAGGGTATATGGTTGACAAACTTTAGATAGGAAAGTTCTGGTCCATCGTTGCAATTTTCTGTTTTTGTTTAAAGAAATACGGAATTGTTAGATTGGAATAATATTAGGATCTTGAAAAACTTCATTTTTCACATAGAGGCTGCGACTTCCCCCAAGTTTTTGCTGTTCAATAAGGTTTCCGTTTCTCATTTTAAAAATACAGGTCATTTGAAATCAGCTGTTATATCCTCTGTATAAAATTGGGATCTGATAGTTCTTACCACTGTTCTACAGGCCATTTTCTTTTGACAAACCTTCTGTTAGAAACCATGAAAAAGACAACAAAGGAAAGCAACAAAGAAGGAAGGATCGTGAATTTATCATCAGAGGCTCACCGATTTGCATATACCGAGGGGATTCGTTTTGACAAGATTAATGATGAATCAGGGTAAGTCTGAGAGGACAATTTAATGATTTTATCACTCTACGCTGCTGCGAAATTACAGTAGTATCCGATTTAATGATTTTATCGCATGATGTACCAAATTTTGTCCACTAATACTTCATTTTGATTTTCTTTTCTTACTTGAAAATGTACAGATACTCCAGTATGTATGCTTATGGACAATCAAAACTTGCGAATATATTGCATGCTAATGAGCTCACAAGGCGCTTGAAGGTACTAAATTCATACAGGATCATCAACTGGTTTACTAGTGAACTTAATGATATGAATCATTTCATGTGATTGTGGTTTTTCTTGGTCTTTCCTCGGTGTAAAGAGTCCTCAACCTGCTACAGAGAGAGCAGGATTGATTCATCCACGTAATTTGGTCTTCTAGAATAGCACCCTTAAATAATAGCGTCCTGAAGACTTTTGTTTAACGTGTTAAGTTCCTGAGATAAATGTGAAAATTAGATGTGTTAGCGTGTGCATGGCCCTTTTGGTCAATAGAAGAGAAAAGAGTCAGCGTAATTTCAGATTGTTATTCTTCCCATCTTCGGAAGAGAAAATTTGAAAACAGCATTAGATCACAATTTGTAGCCTTTACATTGTTGGTGTTTTCAACATTTATAAGCTCTCTTCAATTTTATACTTCCAAATAAGCCATGCCATCATGCATAAGAAATTCTAATCTTCTGTTGTGTTTCAATTTTTGCTTATTTATTTATATATTTTTCTCTCTTAACAGGCAGAAGAGATTAATATAACTGCTAATTCCCTTCACCCCGGATCAATTGTTACCAATCTTCTACGCCACCACAGTTACATTAATGGTAAATATTTGAACCGTTGATAAATATTCGATAATAGGTTGATTTGTTCTGGATGAGGTGATTAGGTCATGCATTCTGAGTTGTAGTTCTACAATCTTGTATAAATATTCTTTCGATTTACATAATTCTTAAGAATGCTATATGGTATGATTTACAGCGTGTGTTCCAATTTACGGGTACAGACAATATGGTACTATCAATTTGACTTGAGTAATATCAAGATCTTCATTCTGTTCATTCTGTGTTCAGAATCCTCTTGTCGGCTTCCCTTTTACTTTCATCATTTCCTTTATTTATCTGGATTCATATTTTGATCTTCATTGTTTTGGGTTAATGCAGCCATTGCCGGCTTCTTAGGTAGACTTATGCTTAAAAATGTTCAGCAGGTATTATACTAATCCGATTCACTCAACAGGCTCATATGATTCAATCAGCATCACTATTTTCGTTCTCTTTTTCAATTGTTTAACATCACTGCAGGGGGCAGCAACTGAATGCTATGTAGCGTTGCATCCGCAAGTTAAGGGTGTCAGCGGTGAATACTTTATGGACAGCAACAAAGCCGACCCGACCCTTCAAGCCAAAGATGCTGAATTGGCAAAGAAGCTATGGGATTTCAGTGTGAGCCTGACGGATCCAAAGTAATCAGGAACAAAAGATTGGTCAGACTAAATACGTGTTGTAAAATTACAAGTGTTTTTCATGTAACTGTCTGAGACTTTATTCGAAGCTAAAATGTTGAATGATCATGTAAAACTTATAAAACTTATATATATAAGCCTATGGCAGGGACCTTGTTGCCTTGTAGGAAAGCCGTCGGCATACATATTACATATGCTTTCCATCATTTTGGTTACCGCCCACCCCCCCCCCCCCCCTCTTCCCTTTTCCTCTTCGCGCAGTTGTTTCTGGCGAACAGAAACTCAATTTTCCGACCAATTCCAAATTCTACTAAATTTTATAGGAATGTGGATTGCAACAAAAGGATCAGCTTTTATGCCTTCCATGAAGTTCGGCATGAAGTCCAAAAGTGAACGAAAGCCCGTGAAAGGTTCCATGAAGTTCGGCATGAAGTCCAAAAGTGGACGAAAGCCCGTGAAAGGTGTATCTTGCCAATCAACGTTTGATGGACAATACGAGCATGGGATTTTAAAGCTGGGGTCGAGGCGAGTCTAACCCAGGTGGTGCGCCACCATGTTTATTGTCGGAAAAGGTGATCTCCAAATCTAGAGTTTACGGTGACCGAGAGGTTTTGGACTTTGATTCGTCCCCTAGGGAAATCTATATAAAAAATTTGATAAGATAGGAGCACTCGGACGTCAAGATGATTTCAGCGCCACCAATCCTATTTGACGCAGGACGAGCCAAGGGTCTGAAGAGAGATAACCTGAGATTCACTCAATCAAGAACAACCGATCATGCTCGACGTTGCTAAAGCTTCAAAATCACTTCTTGATATTGGTTACTTTGAAACGAATAGAGATAATTGGAATCATTACTGAAAGTTGTTTGGTCCGATTGTTTTCTTCTAATGTCGCAAGAACAGAATGCCTCTTTATAAAGCTTCCCACAATGTTGTTTAATCAATGAACTCGTATTTGCATAGCGGTATTTGCAACAATTGGGGTGGGATTCCAATCTGGAAAACAATTGATCCCAAGCTGCATACAACACTGTTAATTAGCCATCTTAATCATAGTCTTGTAGTGGACATTTTGCATGTCATAAATTGGTGGAGAACTCCAATTTACAAAGTTCTCATTGAATTCATCGTCATCATCGATGTACGTGTCGTAAATTGGCAGGGAATTCTAATCGACCAAGCTAATCTATTTAACCATCTTATATTCAAACGGATGAAAACTTTCACTCATCATCTTCATACGCAATAGAAAACTACTCTAATGCCACTTTACGCAGGACGTGCCAAGAGTTTCAAAGAGATGGGGTAGATAACTTAGGATTCACACAAGCATGGACGGCGGATCTTGCTCGATATTGCTAATTGTGGATTCACTTACACGACCAAGGCATATGTTTGATTTTTAGAGGGAGAAAACACCCCCTTCAACTGCACAAGGCAAATATATATTTTTTAATTAAACAAGTCTGCCATTCAAGGCTTTCTACTACAAGGATTTACCAATTAATAAACCTAAGTTTCTATAACACCCTTACAACTTTCAAAATAACTTCCCAAATGTGACAATATCTCAAACTTAATTAAGCCATATATTTCCATATGAATGACTCCTCATTAAAGGGACTTTGGGTTCTGCATCACCGTCATAAACGTTTGCCGGACAAGGAAGAACAACCGGGTCAGGTCGGCCACCCGTGGTTTGACCCGGACACCAATTCGGTCTAGCAGAGAGAACTGGGTTTCTGTTTTTCGGAAATTGGGTTCCGGATGTTCTTAACTCAAACTTTCTATTTATAGCCAACTTTGGTCAAAATGATGAAAATGCCCTCTAATTTAAAATGGTATCAACTTCACTTCATTTCAATTCCATTTCTCGAACAGTGTTTGCATAAACAATCGTGAGATTGTGCTGTACCCATATATTTTAAATTCACATCCAAACACCAACGTAAACTTTAAAATGACTAAAACCACTTTTAAACATTCTTCTAAAAACCATAAAATAAACAAATTTCAAGACGGAATATCACAAATACAACGTTATGTTGAGAGAAACTTACACGTGTCATTTATAGTGACAAACACTATAATAACTATATATCTGTATCATAAAAGTCTTTTTTCTCAAAATAAAATTGTTAAAACTTGAAATATAAAATTTGGTGCAAGTGGTATTGGGTGAGATCGCATCACATGTTCTTCGGAATCTCTATCACCACTACGAAATAGATGTACACACATTTTTCTTATATTTTGTGTGCAACATATTTATTTTTAGTGTCAATTAGTATGTAAGAACGTTTTTATCATTTTACCACTGTGTCATGCACGCATATGATTTACTTAGATTACGATCAATCATCATTAACAATGATGATAGCCTTTGTGTTATTTTTAAATAGCGAGCAACATGCAAACCATTATTGCAACATGCAGTATATGCTTACGTGAATTTTTATATCTATATATTCATGCTACACACTTGCTTATATAAATTAACATTTAAACTATTCAGATTGAATCTGGTAAGTCGTATCTGTTAATTGCTGTTGGCGTATCCTTAATTAGTAGCATTGGCTGTCACTCTATTGTCCTTGAAAATATTTCAGGCGTACGTGCGTGCTATAACTTCAGTCTTCTGGTGGTGGTGTTAGCACTCTCGTTTCTCTGTATTGCAAATTTGTAACTTCCTATCATCGTCTGTGACATCAATGGGTGGGATATTTAGCAAGAAAGGACCATCTGGGTTCTCATCCTGGTCGACAGCCGAGGAAGTTACCGAAGGGATTGATGGATCTGGTGTAACTGCCATTGTTACAGGTTCATCCTCTATCTTGAACTTCATATACGATTGTTCGTGTGATAAAGGATATATGCATAGTGAGCTTCATTTGTTATATATTTCAGGAGGCTCAAGTGGTATTGGGGCGGAGACATCACGTGTTCTTGCACTGCGTGGTGTCCATGTATTTATGGCCGTAAGGAACACGGAAGCTGGGGAACGCGTTAAAGAAGCGATACTTACAGAAGTACCCGACGCAAAAGTTGACGTTAGGGAGTTGGATCTCAGTTCATTGGAATCTGTAAGGAAATTTGGATCAAATTATTGTTCCTCCGGCATTCCACTGAACTTCCTTGTGTAAGTATATTTTTTAGCCGTACTAGATTGAATTCGACAGTTTATATTAGGTTCATTATCTTATTTGCAAACGAACCGATTTAAATTATACAGCGCGTAGTTCTTAGTTCTGATACCGTACTGCACAACGATTCAATTCGAACCAGAGAAACCTAAAATGTTGAAGTATGAATCAATCAGGATAAGGACATAATGTACTAACATTTGTGTATTTCATACATACTAATATTACAAATTATAAGTAATGCACTCTCTTCTTTGATGTAAGCAACAATGCAGGGTTAGGGGCAGCTCCATTCAAGCTTTCCAAAGACGGCACAGAAATGCAATTTGCAACTAACCATCTAGGTTTGCCTCCTAACCATTTTTTTTTTTAGTACTTTGAACTGTATTCCAACGGATCAATTTTATAATATTTGCTTCTATTTTACCAATTCATTTGTTACTTGAACCATCCAATCTGCAGGTCATATTCTTCTCACTGAACTTCTGTGGAGATCATGAAAACAACGTCGCGAGAAAGCGAAGTAGAGGGGAGAATTGTTAATGTATCATCATCACTTCATCCAGATGGGTACAGCGAAGGGATTCGTTTTAATAAAATTAATGATGAAGCAAGGTAAATCTTCTTTCGGCTGTTCTGGTTTAATATTTTAGTATCCGTTTTTAACATTTCGAAGTGCATGTTTCGGAGAATTATGTCAACTATCTAACCCTTTTGGTTGCTAATTTACAGATACAACAGATATTATGCCTATGCTCAATCCAAGCTTGCTTACTTGTTACATACTAATGAACTTACAAGGCGTCTCCAGGTATTGGACATTTTAAGTCATCCAATGCAAATATTTAACCTGTTACTATAAGAATTGATCTGCAGTAATTCTTGGTCGACTTGGTAATCAACTTTTTTTTTTTCTTTTTTTTTTTTTTTTTAACAGAAAGAAGGGGTAGATTACTGCGAATTCTCTTCATCCCGGTATGATTTTTACCAATATCAGGCGCCATGATCTCTTGTTAATCTGTAAGCTTCATCTTCTCTACTTTATTAGTTTCCGGCATACAGAATCTTGCACCGTTAACATTTATAGCCGACGTGGACCGTGGTTGAATAATTTCATCGAACATTGTCCGTGTAGGGTGCGGCAACCTCATGCTTTCTGGCACTTAACCCACAAGTTAAGGGTGTATCCAGCGAATACTTTGTGGACTCTAACGTTGGCAAACAGAGTTCTCAGGCAAAAGATGTAGATTTGGCTAAAAAACTGTGGGATTTTAGCTTGAGTTTGACCAATGCCAAGTAGCACAGAGTGTTGATCTTGCTGGTTTATGTCATGGTAGCTCTTTTCTTGACTTTCTGTTATCATATCAATTGCCAAATTTCAGAACTTCAAATTTGTAATCTGTTTGTACTTTCTGATCATGGGATCAGATCTTTGTGATTCTTCACTTTCTGCATTGAGATTTTATGTTTTTCTTCTAAACTACTGAATTTGTTCTGCATATATTTATAAAAAGCAAGGTTCTAAAATACACTAGGCGCTACGGTGAGTTGGACCTAGCGCCTAGGCGGCTAGGCAGGATCTAGGTAGATTTAAGTAAATCTGTTATATTTTGTGTAAATTAGTGTGTTTATACTTAAAATATATATAATTACATCATAAATTACAAAATAGAATGACATATATATTATGAAGTATTGAAACATAATGAAACATGGGGAACAAGCATATAATGTGTGTTCATTTAAGTATTCAAGTCTCTTACAATTTATTAAAAAAAAATGCAAAATGAAAGTTATCTATTTTCTATCTAAGTGAGCCGCAACCTAGGCAGGTATGGCTAGGTTGGGCTGGTGCCTATGCGGGTTAGGTGGACACCTCAACAGGTCTAGGTACCCCTTCTAAATTTTCAAACACCTAGGCATTAATCGGGACAGTGACCAACCGTCTAACATCTAGATGAGGCCTAGGAGGTGCTAGGCGAGGATTTTTAGAACAATGATAAAAAGAAATGATTTCCACGTATCCTTTGTTAGTCTTGTTGCTTGATGCTCTTTGATCTGTTGAATCCACAGGTAGAAATTAAAAAGGGACGTTCAAGGGAACCAAAAAGGGTTTGCGAAAATCATTTCTCGTTTCTAATCGTGCCGCTCTATTGATCGATACCTAAAAGGGTTCTGACAAATTTATAATTTCCAATTAGTGTTGCGTTCAGTAAACTGTGAACGTTCTCTGACCAATCTTAAAGCCTGTTTGCACATGAGAGATGTACTTTTCCCATAAGCGATTTTGGACCTCCCAAAATATCTTCCAAACAGGTCGTTATCATTAAACTAAACCATTAACTATCCGAGCATAAGTAATACCACTGAACGTCTCATTCTTCATCAATAATCCATAAATTAGGTCATCAGAAGATATCTAGAGAAAGATATTCAAGAGGAATTAGATTTCTTCTATTTGATGCAACTTCAAGTACATTTAGATACAACAATATAACCCGAACCGCCTATCTTAAGAGTCGGACTGAGCTCCGTGAACTGATACAGGATTGAACAGACCGGCCCGGAAAGCTTTCAAATCTCAACTACCATCTTGACAAAAATCAACTCGAATTCAAATCCCCACCCTCTGTACAATAATATGTGCCACCTCAGCCGCCCTTTCTTCTCCCAGTAACTTAAAATGGAAGGTCAGGTTCAAATGCTAAAGTGTGCACTTCTTTACAGCAGCAGAAACGTTTGCTTTACAAGGAATTATCAAATGCTGGATCTCCGAAGGCCATCGCAATAGAGCTTTAGAACCCTCTTCTGCTGAGTACTGCTTACCACTGGAACATGACTGAGAGCATTGAGACCATTCATATCATGTTACTCTTCTGGCAATCAGGGTATCAAAAGATCCACTCATTTGCATATTTGTCCACATTGTCGATTCCTAGAAGCCCTGTTCTAGCCAGGGATCACGCACCTACCATATACCACTGCTATGATCGAGCACTCGTACAAGGATGTTCAGCTTAATATGGACCTACCATGTACCACTGCAATGATCGAGCACTACAATCCATGGATGTTCAACTTAATATGATCCCTTAAGAGCTGCTGAGACACACAATCAGCCAAAACAGACTGCACGTCAAATAGCTCCCTGGGGTCCCCAGGAACTGAATGCCCAACCTGGTTTCTGAGCACACCATTATCAGGAAAAAAAATATCCCGGAAAACATAAGAGCCTTGTGGAAATCCTTGAGGTAGGTCTGGCTTTGGCTCATGGTATGGCATGTTGCCATTTGTATGGAAACCACAGTTTTGAGATCTCTGGGTCATCCCTATGCCTGCAAGTGAGTAGGTTGTTGGCTGCTTCAAGTGTTGAAAAGGGATTGAACTGCTGGTGAGAGGAGTAGATGAACCGGATGTGGTATGAGGGCTAGATATGGGAGAGGGGGACATCCTTCCACTGACATGTGGTGGTGATCTAGAATGTAGAAGCGGACTTCCAATAGGAGAAATTGGGCATGATACATTTTTCGGTGAATAAGCATCACTGGGAACCAAAAAGGAAACGGAGAAGTTACGAATATAATGAAACAATGAGTAGATAACTAGTAGTCAAATCAGTCCTTATTGACCCAGGTGGCATTGATATTACTAATAGGTTTTCTCACATTTACTTCAGTATTATACAGTTATAAAGGTATTGTCATTGCCCTTTCTGAAATGAACAGTTCAATTGTATGCAAAGGATTCTTTAATGAAAAAGTACAGGTGTGCGTATTAAGCTTAATAATGTTGGTTGCATGTATGAGTTGGAAGCAAAAACAAGGTACAGACCAGGTTTTGATAACGTAATAGTTTGGTCACTAATTAAAACCACGCACGTACACATGATAAAGATATTATTGAGAAGACAGGAGAGAGACCTTGATGCGAAAACAGTTTTTGAGCCTCTGGACTGATGCATGCCCATCCCTTCTGAGTCTAAGTTCAAATGATTTTTCCCATGTCCAAATGCCTAAAAGAATATAAGAAAAGGAAATGCATCAACTTTACAACTGATAAAGCAGACAAACATGAAATTTTGTGTGTTCTGCACCAAATATGCCAGCATTAATCAATTGAAAATAATTAGTCTCCAAATAGCATATAGCTCGTTGTCCACATGACTACTAACAAGCATACGCAGCACCATAATATCTGTTTCTCACAGCACATCTGGACAAAAAATGTACGTAATGTAAACTTAGATTTTGGGGTACTGTAAAACCTTATGATGTTGGGTGTCAACAGAGCATGGTTTTCATCTTATACAAGGTAATAAACATGGAAAAACAATATGAAAGGATGGGAAACAAAATGTTCTCATGATATAAAAGTTCTAATGTCATATACCATGAGGTCATCTATTTGCACTCTGAAGTTGATATGCAACGAAAAGTTAATATTTGGTTGACATCAAAGACAACAAATGTGAAGTGTGAAAGTAACCGAAATACTTCTTTAATATCTTCAGTGAGATTTTTTTTATTTTGGCATGCTTCTACCTGAGATCTCATTGCAGCTGGTCCTTTAGAATGCTCTGCACTAGGGATGGTTCTTTCCAGTGGAGCAACATTCCTAACAAAAGGATGCTCCAAAAGCTGAGCAGCTGTAGGACGCTGCAGTGGGTTACGTTGCAAACACAGCCTAATAAAGCTCTTCCCATCCTCTGACAGATGATCAGGAATTTCAGGAAGTTCCTTGCTGTTTCCAATCTTAAACATGGCAGCAACCTTTGAATCACACAAAACAAGGAGGATAAGGTCATTGAGGAATATCTGCCATGCAGTCAATGAGAAATGTATAACGTCCGAGTGCTGCATAATACCCAAGTGTCTGAATTCAATCTTACTAACCCCTTCATATTGGCTCCAAGGTGGTTTTGTTGTGGCCATCTCAAGAACAGTGCAGCCAAGGCTCCATATATCAACCGCAAGATTACAACCGTTTGAATTCTTGATAACCTGAAGCACTTGAGCAGGTAATGTTACCATAAAGCCATATGAAAAAAGTGATGCAAGCGCAGAAAAAGGAACTGTGCTAACCTCAGGCGCCATCCAATATGGGCTTCCATTGAACGATAATGGACAAGACTGTCCCGTTATCTACAAATCATTTCAGATGAGATTAATCACAACACTCAGATTCATGGTTTATAGGAAAAAAGAAATGTTACACAACTTGGATCAGTTTATCAATTGTCCCATTTCAGTGTTTCTTTTGGCTCGTTTCACTCTCATAACACACTGGCTTAAAGGACCTTGTTCATTGCTAACAACAAGGTTTCATGCTAACCAGACTATCAAAAGAAATGATTGAATGATTATTGAGATAGAAACAGCAAATGAACCATCTTACATGCTTAGCCATCCCAAAATCTGCTAATTTCACCCGACCATTTGGATCTACTAATATATTTGCTCCTTTGATATCCCTGAACAAAATAAGCTTCTCATTAGGTCAAACAACATTCTTAAACAATCAAAACTAACATGGCCCATAAGGGTGGGTGATAGATGATCTTCAAAATAAGTCGAGTTTTAATAATAAGTGGCTCACCGGTGGACAGTGTTTTTGGTATGTAAGTATGCAAGCCCTGACAAGATTTGTTGAGTATAACTACGAGTGGCTACTTCACCAAACTGACCATACTCTTGAAGCAGTTTATAGATGGACCCACCAGACACATACTCCAAGTATATGTAAAGCTTGTCATCTACCTGTTCAATTATACACGCGACCACATACCAACAATAGGAATAACAAAATTATTTTAAAATGTTTACTGGCAAATGTGTGAACAGCCAATGTTTACTCACCTAAGCACCAAAAGCTATCTAGAGATTACAAAATAATACAAGGAACTCACCGTCTCAGATCCATAATACTGCACTATATTTGGATGTCGCAAGCGACTTAGCAAAGCAATTTCCTGGAAACACAACTTGTGAGTATAAACTATCCTCAACCTTAAAAGGAAAATATGTAAAATATGTAAAACTTATATGTAAAATATTTACTAAGAAATATTTAATTCTTTACAATGGCAAAGCTTTGAGCAGATCTACTGAGTCAGTACGAAAAAAACTTACTTGGCCCAGCTGCTGTGCACTTTCCTTTGATTTTGCATCATCTGCAAATAGAGTTACCTCCTTCATTGCACACATCTCACCGCTTTCACTGAAGCCCGAAAACTGAATCAAACTAGACATTCAAAATAACAAAGAATGTGTGCAGTGTGCATTACTTAAGAAGGGTGGACAATCACAAATCATTATTTTTAAATTCAGATTTCACAAACATTGTCTGATTATAAGCACAGGAAAACTGTAATTTTGGAAAGCATAGGAAATTTGTGTCAATACCATGCATGCTAAGAATTGGATATTACTGTAAAATGCTCAATCACTTAACAGAGCTGATTTGAAGGCATTTGGCTACAAACCTGTTAAAACCAAGATATACATGCCCAAATGTGCCCCTTCCAAGCAGGCGCCCCTTCTTCCAGTGTGAGCCAGGGCTTGTTGGATGTTCTACCCTATTAGGGCTACGTGGAACTGTGGGAGTTGTTGTAGCTGAATATGAAGGAGAAAAAGGACAGGTCTTAGTTATTGTTATTGGAGGAAGGGGCAACCGGTGGCTTTTCTGCTTCGCATCATCAGGCCGGCTTGTAGGCGACTCTGCGGCTGGCCCTCCGGATCGAGGATGCAGAGGGGTAGCAGCACCACTTTGTATTCTGGAGTTGGGACCAGGACTAGTCATTCTAGGACTGGGTATTGGAGAACATTCGGGACTACACCTAATGTGCTGCCAAAACAACTGTCCTGACATATCCCCTCCGACTGAATTATGCCCAGAATTTTGACCTGAACCTGGACTAGAGCAGTGGGTAGAAGCTATATCTGGATAAGTCTTTGCTGCCCAGAAGCTAGAGTTCCTAACTTGCTCAACACTGAACACTCTCATAGGACTCCTAGAAGGACTCGACATTGAGCTGTCCGGAGCACTAGACAAAGTACCATGGAAAGGGATTTGTATATTCTGCATATGTGTGCTTGAAGGTTTCCATTTTGGTGATGTAGACAGAACCTGATTATTGCACAAAAGATGACCCGGCTTCAACGTGTCTTTGGAGTTCTTTTGGTACACAGTAGGGAATGGATCCTTTTGTATTACACTACATAAAGATAGAAGCAAATTTTTCAGGGGGTGAATGAGCACGCACACAGAAGAAACATATACAGGTGAATATGATATATCATGTATCTAGCATAAAACCGTAAATAAGGACTTCATTTCCAATGACATAGATGAGAACTTACCAGGAAGGACTGTTTATATTTGTTCTGTTTCCATTTTCATAGTCGGATCCCATGGGACTTAGAAGGCGTGAGTCAGACGGATCATCACTATCAATAGAACTATCACTGGATATGGAAGCAGTAGCTAAATCTCCTTCAGCATAGGTACGATCTTCCCTGCTTGAGACACATCCGGGTCCTGGAAGAGGCAAATAGAACAATTGGTTGGACTCTCTGTCAGATTCTGGTTTTGATACCATGCTGATGCCAGAGTTAGGACGCCCAATGTTAGAAAGTTGCACTCTAGGAAGGGGTAGTGGCTGGGCATGAGGCTTTTCTGCAAAGCTTGGACAGCGTGATACTTGTGAGGAGGGTACTGGTGACAGCACCCTAGATAGAGAACCCATTTCTGAAACAGTGTCAATGCATCTTCTTCGAGAACCTCCTGATCTACCATTGCACTTTTCTTCAGACGAGCTCTTAAGTTTACGGTGTATGGTTGCTATGGTATCGATGAAACTCTCCCGATTAGCTTTCTTCTTCTTCACTTCTTTGGACGAAGACTTCCTCCACCAAGAAGGCATGCTTATATAGTGAAACTACAGTCAAAAAGAGCAGATCCGGAGATAAATTACTCTCCTTGGTTAAAGATAAGCTATCACATTTAGACCTATGTAATGACCAAGTACGCAACTCATATATTCATAACAATGAAGTAATCCAGTGGCCGTATTCATAAAACCTCTGTATGACAAAACTCAAACAGATAGCGATAACTCATTTTGGCAGGAGCCCCAGACGAGATATTCAATACAAATTATGCCAACAAGAACCTGTATAGATATTCCAAGCATTTTGTCATTAGCTCTTGCCAAGAACAAATACAATAGACAATTAATTACATAAATGTACGTTCGCATAACAACGTAAACTTGAATTATCAGTAGGTGGGGAACCCATTACTCATGTGTTGACAAGCATGCATAAACAACCATAATTCGGATACACGAACTACCGTCGAGGTCACACATTCCGATTGCAAATGTTGGCTTTTTATGTGGAAAGGAACAAAAATCACCAAAACTTTCGAAAGCCAACTGCATTTTTATTTGCAAAGCATTATTTACTAAATAGAGAAATTCACAGCTCAGATCTACGAAATTCGGTAACCCATTTCGACAAATTCAATTGCATAAAGTAAATATCTTCAAACCCAAAAGAAATCAGAAATTGAATAAAATTTCACTCCCACCACCAAACAACATTAACTTCTTACAATTACGAAATTACTACTACTTAAACAAAGAAAAATACAAAAATTAAGCTAATCAAACACAATGGCGGAGAAAACACAAGCTCAAAATCCGTGACGGAGCCGTAATTTCCCAGCGGAAATGCAAAATATTTTCAAATAATTCAATTCTCTGAAGCTCGAGAGAAATTCAAGCCACTAAACTGACTAAAGCAGAAACCCTAATTACTTACAGCGCGGCTGTGTACCTAGAGCCAGAAACGACGTCGCTTGGAGGAAAGCTGGAAACTCAGTGTCTGTCCTTCTCCGGCACGGCGGAGCGAGGAAGGTGAAAAGACGCCGAGCACGGAAGAAATGTTTTAGAGTGAGCGGTAAAGTGTGCCCCTGGTGAGTGTTGAGAAATATAATAATTAAAGTGACTAATTTATTCAATTTAATCGTTAATTAAATCCAGAAAAAAGGTAGCGAGCATCGCGGTGTATTATAATTTTGTGGTATCGTTAAGGATCACCGTTGGTTTTGATAGCGATGACGACGGTCATTGTGGTTTGTGGTTAGTAACGATTTGAGATGAAGGGTGTATGGAGTTTGGAGTGTGGTGAGAGTAGTAGAGTTTTTATGTTTATTATAGTTTTTTAACGGCATCTTACTTTATTTTATATTTTTGGAACAGCTTAATACTCCATCCTCATTTCATTTGTGATTTCACAAGGGGATTTGCTAACCACCCGTTGGGGTGGGACATACCCTGCTAACTTGAGGAAGCGGAACTTTAGGGCGATTCGATTTCAATCGATTCAGTTTTTTGTCAAAATCGAAAACTGAAACAAAGTTGTTGTTCAGGTGGGTTCAATTTCGTTCAGTTTTTTTTTTTTTTATTTAGTTTTTTTATTTCGGTTTTTTCAGGTTCCTGTTATTTTACTGAATATTGTTTTTCTTCTAATTCTAAAACGGAAAATTTTATTTGAACTCATCTAACCTCTTTTTACACCAAACTTAAATTTTAAATGTGAAATTTCTTTATTACCCTATTACATAATTATCATCAAGTACAAAATAAAATTAACAAGAAAATTAAAAGATTTATCAGTAAACCCATCCCAATAATCAAGCCCTAACTATCACGTAATTTTTCTTCTACGTTATGTTCTGACAAAAACCCTAAGACTCTCCCATAGAGAAAAAATAAAACCTTTTTTTATACGTGAACGTTAATCTTGAAGTTTTGGATCCTTCAACTAAGTATGAATGAATTTATGCAAGACTTGAATTATTGTTTTATATGTCATATATAATGTTATGACTCTGCTATGTCATATATAATGTTATGACTCTGCTGCCTCTGCAAGTTTCCCTATTCTTTTGTTCTTTTTGGCCTCTGGTCAGCTTTGCTTCATTCACAAGACAACCGATTGTACTCTTTCTGGTGTTCAGTATTATTTTGTAGGCAAAGGAAGTGGCCCTCTCATTCATAAGTGTGCGTGTAAGTCTTTTAATTTCCTCTACTTCCTTCAATTTGTCCAATAAGACATGATTCATCTACCAATATACGCTTACAGGTTACAACTTATAAGTCTTTATATCACCAAAACATACAAACTCAAATTCATATGCAACATACATCATCACACAAGGTAACTTGAGACTTATTGAGAATAACGTTGTAGAGGTTGATGAAGATTCCATCAAAAGCAACTGTTGAAATGAGAGAATGTGTAGAAAATGCATTGATTTTAGCTTTTTATTTTTTAAATGGGTGTAAGATAAATTATAAAATTAAATTGAGTTTGTAAGGGTAATTTAGGTAATAAATATGAGTTCAAAAGATATTGATAGTTTCATTAAAAATAATATGAATGTAAAGAGTAAATTGTGTGTAGAAAGACGTTATATAGATTCAAATAAAATTTCCCTTCTAAAATATGTGAGCTATTCTTCTTAGAAGTTCTTACATAATTCATTTGGAAGAAACAGCAACAACCTCATATTGTCCTATTTCGTATTTCCCTTGTTTTGGCTTTGGAGCTACAACTTGAGGCATAGACCAAAACGAAAAAAATTATAGAAAAAAAAATACAAGGATACTAATCAATTAATTTTTACCTTCAAAGCCAAAGCTACAAGTAGACTTGAAAATAGATCGGGTTTATTAGGTTTGGGTCGGGTTTAATCTGATCTATTAATTTAACGGATCATCCAAATCCAACCCGTTAAGCTAACGGAATCCAATTTATCATTCCACCCGTTAACTCTTTTTTTTTTTTTTTTTTTTTTTTTTTTTTAACATTTCATCCAAAACAAAATACGCGGAAACAAAAACTGGGTTGCAACCAAAATACGAACTTCCACTGCGTTTTTGAAAAAAAACCCAATAAAATTCTCAGGATTAACAAAAAAATGCTCAAAACGAAAGTTGGGGGTAGGACCGTAGGAATCAAAACACGAAATTTCAACTCAATTTTCAAAGAAACCAAATAAAATTTCCAGAACTAACACCAAAAAATGCTGAAACAGAGACTGGGTTGAAATCAAAACACAAAATTGAAACTGGGTTTTTACAGAATTCAAACAAAACCATCAATACTCAAATGGGAATCTGAGTAAAGTAGTAACCTTAATCTTGCCAAATTCAAACAATCCCATGAACAAATACAGAAGAAAAAGAAATTAACAAAAAAAGAAATAAGAAAGAAATACCTAGCAAATAAATCCAAATCTCCGAGTCGCTGTTTTTCTTCTTTGATTATTATTTTTGGGTTTTTTCTTCCTCCTTGTGGGCGGACTAATTGAAAGGTTGGATCTTGATGCTTCTCTTGAATTTTCACCAAACCATTTCGTGAAGCACAACTTTGGTCGCTACGCCAGTACACTGTCCCCGCAACCGCGTCGATAAAAGTTAAGGAGCACAGCGATTCTGAGAGACCAACGGCGTGCACGAGACGGCGAGAGAGAGTGAGTCGTGACTGGGGGCTTTTTTATTAGTACTATTGAAATTATACTTAAGTCTTCAATAACGAGTCTTAATGGGTGGTTAATGGGTTCTCGGGTTCATTCAAAATGATCCGTTATTTAACGGATGGTTAACGGTTGATCGATTAACCACCCGACCCATTTACTACTCGCTCAAATACTAATTTTAACTGATCGGGTCGGATCATGTTAATGGGTCAAGTTGAAAATGCCAAGTCTAGCTGCAAGTAAGAAGAAGAAGATAATTTTTACCTTCAAAGCCAAAGATGCAAGAAAGAAGAAGCCAGGTACAATAAATTTAAGAAGAAACTAAGTTTTCATCCCTCTTTCTTCTATGTCATTTCTTTGATTAAAACCTTATTTCTTTGCAAATTTTGACCAAGGTCCTTAGGTTTTAATGAGTGTCATTATTTCAATAACAAAATATTTACATATTAGCATAATATAATTAAATTTCTAAACTATATTCCTTTAATGTTAGAAAAGTTACATTTGGTACATTTATATTTATGGCTATGGTTTGTATTATATATTTCTATTTTTAGTTTCTACCCAATTTTAATTTTCAACCCTTTTTAAAATTTGTACTAAATTTCTTTTTAGTTTTAATTTGTACTAAATTTCTTTTTAGTTTTAATTTGTACCCATATATTAAATTTTTTTTTGTGCTCATATTAAAAAAAAAAAAAAAAAAAAAAAAAAAAAAAAAAAACAGGTACGAAAAATAAATTAGGTTCTCATCCCTCTTTCTTCTATTCCATTGATTAAAACTTTATTTCTTTGCAAATTTTGATCAATCTCCTTAGGTCTTAATGAGTGTCATTATTTCAATACTAAAATATTTACATATTAGCATAATTAAATTAAATTTCTAAAATATATTCATTTAATGTTAGAAAAGTTACATTTGGTATTTTTATGGCTATATTTTGTATTATATATTTCTATTTTTAGTTTGTACCCAATTTTAATTTGCAGTCCTTTTTAAAATTTGTACTAAATTTCTTTTTAGTTTTAATTTGTACCCATGTATTTTTTTTTTTTTAATCTTTTATTTGTACCCATAATTTCTTCATAAATTACCCATTAATGTACCACTTTGTTAAGTTAAAATGTGACAACCCATCCCTAATTTTCCATGTAATTTTCTTCCCGAGTGTATAAAATGACCATTACGTCCTTATTGGCAAAGTGGAATCTGATGTGGACGTTGTTGTTAAGCGTTTAATTTATTTTTTGTATTATCGTAATTAAGTTGTAATTGCCAATCAGAAACTCTCTTTCTCTTTCTTCTTCTTCTTCTTCTTTTTCTTATTCTCACTAACTGTAAATCTCTTTCTCTCTGCAACAACAAACTCCATCATCAAACCTCACTGATCAATGTTCAAACCACCATCATCATACTCTTCTCATCCCCACAAGTCCATCTGTAGAGTCCATTCGAAAACGAACGAGATTTGAGTTCCCAACTCAGAGCTCCGACTTGGATCGTGGTTCTTCGGCGTCTTTTCATTTGAGTTACAAGGTTTTGGAAGGTTTAGAAGCAGCTACACAACTCCCCGAGGTCCCTAGCCTAAGTTTGAAGTCAAGCCAACGTGTAGACACACGATTTTGGGACATTGGAATTAGGGTCGAGACTTTCGAGCCATTTTCAGTCCATTTTCGTCCACATTTTGGACTTTCAAAAGGTACAAAATTGTTATTCTCTTCCCAAGCTTCATTTCCATATAAAGTACGTAAAAAATGGTTGAGAAATGAGAAAGTTATGAAGTTTTAAAGTTTTTACAAAAATCCGGCTAACGTTTCTAAATTCCGACAAACCAGGCAGCGGCAGTGGCAGATGACGGTGACAGCAACCAGAGAACTGAGGAAGAAGGAGAATATTCCATTAAAGTTGACAGAATATTGTAACGTCATTACAGACGCCGTTGAGGTATTCCGTTAGAGTTAACAGAATATTTCGTCAACTGACAAAATATTCCCTATGGATTATGCTAGTGCTTGTAAGCGAGTCGTTGCGCGTGTGGCTGATTGCTGGCAGCTAGTGGCGGTTCATGAGGGCGCATGCCGCTTCGTGGCGGTGCATGGTCGACGTGTACGGGTTCATGACGTCGCGTAGAATGCTTTCGTATAGTTAAACCCTCTGTTTGAGCAAACTATGGGGGATTTTCCTAGCCTTTTCGTTTATTTTTTAATTAATTAATTATTATAGTTGTTTAACATCTAGTAGAGAATTATCCAATAAGGTACGAGGTCAAGCAAGGCTAGGAGGCTACGATCCGACTACGTATCAATGAGTGGGCATTTGCTTATATATATAGTTTTATGGTTTCCACAAATAGTTTTGGATTTAATATTATGCCTATCATGCTATACTTTATTTCATTTTAAAAGTGCTATTATATTGTTGAGATTTATAAATTGTCATGGCATGTTCATATACATTTTACCTGCGCATCATGCATGCTTGCATCAGTATAGTACTTGCCTCAGGCTAGGGCCAGGTTTCATGTGTATGTTCACATCGCACTGAATGCTCACTTTGGATTCATTGTAGGTGCCAGTCCTGTCCTAGGTTGCAATAGGCAACTAGGACTCGTATATGATGCGCCTAGCGCCAGTCTTCACGTGATTGTAGTACTAAAGCATATATTATGATTACAGTAATCATGTTCATGTCAAAATTTCTCTGCATGAACTCGTGAGTTAGCATAGATTGATGAGCACTTGATTTTCTTATGCCACGATTGAGATAATTGTTGTGTTTTTGAAATTATTGATGGATTACATTTGGTTTCATACTTATACGTAGTATGATTTTATGGAAACTATACATGTTTTACAGCTAAGGATTAGTATGTTCAGAAAATAAATATGTTTCATAAACCTTTGTTTTTGCCCACTCACACATTCTGTTTTTCGCCCCTCCAGGACTTAGTTAGCTTAATCCTCTGTGGCGTACGAGGGATCTTTGGCGATTCTAACATTCTCCCAAGTCAATGTAGGAGTTTATTTCCAGCTGTGTAATAAGTATCTTAACTAGATTTGACTACTCTATTTATGTCGTACTATCATTTATGCTCTGACTACTTATGTATTATAGGTTATTCCCACTACTGTGCACTTTCTTTATTAACTTAAATAAATTCTAGCTTCAGTTTAAATTTATTCGTATTTCTTCCACCTCATTTTCGAGTGTCGACCAACATGCCTTGACTTCGGTCGGGGTGTGTCAGTTTGGTATCAAAGTATAAGTTTGGCAGTCCTGCCTTCTTCATATGTGTTATAAGTCCTAATATTTTTTATCTATTATGTCAGAATCATGTCACCTCATAGGGCGCCACATGTTCCACCTGAGACAAACTTTCTTGATTTGAGACAACTCGGTAAGGCTATCGCCACCACCATTTAGACAACAATTCGTCCTCCCCAAAAGAACTACTTTAAAGACCGCATCTAATCTTCAAATAAATAATTTCTATGGCAACGAAGGACCCGAGGTAGCCGAGGCGTACTTTGAGCATGTTGAAAAGACTTTTCACGCTATGCAGTGACATGGGAATTTTCCAGCGAAACAATGGGTTGAAACAGCGACGTGGTTTTTTCATGGAGGAGTAGTGTCATGGTTGATTTACGAGTCACGCCTAATGTCTGCACAGGACGCTGGGAGTTGGGATGTTTTCAAGCGCCTATTTAATGCCAGATTCACACTTCCTGAATACAAGGATCGAAAAAGAGACGAGTTTATAGAGTTGAAACAAGGTAAAATGTCGGCAATAGAGTATCACTGGAAGTTCACTAATTTATCTCGTTATTGTCCTACTATTGCTGAAAATCCTAGAGAAATGCTTCGTCAGTTTAAGAAAAAAACTCGTAAGCGACTTCGTTCTTTGGTAATGTCTACTCCATGCCCCACTTATCAAGAATTCTTTGAGATTTTACTTCATGTTGAGGATTTCAAAAATGGCCCCGATGACAATGATGATGGAGACGAAAATAGTAACACTCAAAAGAATAACAAAAAGGGGCAGTCATCATTTGGTTCCCAAAAGATTCAATATTTCAAGAAAAGCGGTAACAGTTCCGGATCATCTAGTGAGGGTTCAAATTCCAATACTCCTCGAAGGGGCGGCAAATTAACTGGCAATTCACGTTTTCAAAATCAAAGAAACTCCAACAATTCTGGTGATCAGTTCTATCATAAGTGCAATAATCGTCACTACAGTGATTGTAAGAGGTTAAATAAAGGATGTCACACATGTGGCCAGGAGGGGCACCTATCTAATCAATGTCCTCAGAATAAAAAAAATCAGCTTCCTACACTACTAACTGATGTCCCTCCACAATAGAAATTACTTATGGTACGTAGTGCCTAATAGCAAACAAGTTATGGTGGTGTTTTCCATTACTATGGCAACATATCCCAGTATCCGAGAGGAGCATACCAGTACTCACTTGACGTTCCATATTACCAGGGCGGCTATCAACAGTACCAGGGAGGTTATACACCGTATCAGGGTGGCGAAGCATAATGTTATACTGGAGGACACTATTAAAATCTTGATGTAGCTTCTAGCAGTGGCGGGTCGGGCAGGCAGACAACCAAAATAACCAGGGTCGAGGTAATCAAGGACGTGGCAATCAGAATTAGGCAAACATAGGTCGTGGAGGCAGACAGCAAGTGCAAGGTTGCGTAAACAACATCACCATACAAGATGCTCAGAGTAATCCCAACTTAATCATAGGTATGTTGAATGTTCTAGGCCACTTTGCTAGAATTTTAATTGACTCGGGTGCTACTCACTCGATTATTTCTCAATGTTCTAATCCAATAAATTTTTCATTATAGCCATTTCATCTCATTACATTGTAATATAATGAGGGACTTTAAATCTAGGATTTATATGCCACATATATAGATACACACAATATGGGATTATAAATCTCATATATGTCAAACAATTAATCTCACATATATTAATATTAATATAATGAGGTGTACAAGGTCAAGGGACTTTGATAAAAAAAAAACATTACATATCATTAAGGTTTTGGTTAATGAATTTTAGTGACTAGGGACCGAATGCAAAATTTGCCTTTCATAAATAAAAAGCAAATTTTACTCCAATAAGAGGCCTTTAAGGATAGAGCTAGAGAATTCCTTTTTGTCCAACCCCTATCTAAATTTTTTCAAACCCATCAAAAAATTCATTTAGAAACTTTTACAAAGATACAAATCTGAGAGTATGGCCCGAAAGATTTGTTATAACTGCGGGTGAGTATGGATTCTTGGTTGTCCTAGAAGATTCTTATAAAGGAGAAACAAATCAGAAGAAGCAATTAGCAAAGAATAAATTCCCAGTTTCTTCAACTTGAGTTGCATAGTTAACTTGTTGCACTGCCTTGTTAAGATTGCAGTCTTTGGCAATGTGTGCGCTTATGGGATTTTGGCTTTCCCTTGTTCCAACATTCACCATATGTAGTTTACCCCATATCTTGCAAGGTTGTTAATGACATTGTTCCCTTGCCATTGCTTAATAGGAGTCGTGGTTCTATTAGGCCATTGTTTTCCCTTACTGTTGAGCCCCTTTTGAAACTTAGAACCACCAACTTGATTTGTACCTCTATTCACTTGTTTGGATGATAAATCAATACTAGCAAAAGCCTTCTCATTATTGCTTTTACTGTGCATGTTCAAACTATGTTTATAGCCCTTTAAAATAGCTATAACATCCGGTGCATCAATGGTTTCCATTTCTTTGGTCTTTTCAATCATAGAAGCTATACTATCATTGGATTTAGGCAAGCTTTGTTGATTTTTGTATATTCCTATAATCTTGGGATTCTTAGTTTGGTATGATTTCATGTAAATTAGTTATTTCCTTATTGATATGATTGTATCATCTTATAAATTCCTCCTTGAGACCAACTCCAATGGTTGGGCTAAAAGCCAAATTTTTTAGCCCAGAAACAGTTTTTCTGCTCTAACCGTTCTGGGCTAAAATTTTAGCCCTGAATTATTAAAGAATGAACTTAGGCTATTTTTTTTCTTAAATTAAATTAAAAAAAAATATGTAGACTATCGTAAATTAATTTTATGAACATTTTAATCTAAAAAATATTTAAATTCTGATAAATATTGAAAAATCACTAAATTTTCCACAAAGCAAGCCTTCAACTTTCACCAATCTTTCAACCATGGGCTAACTTTCAATTCAACAACCATTCAACACCAAATTTTCTACATCAAAGTGTGGAATAATAGGTACATCAAAGTGTGGAATAATATGTACAATAATTATTGAAGACATCTAGATTAATGGAAACAATAATTAATAAGACATAAATTTAATAAAGTACATAAACCACATAAACTTAATACAACCGATAATTCATAAACCACATAATTAATAAACTACATAAACTTAATACAAACGACAATTAATAAACTTAATTAATAAAGCACATAATTGATACACTACATAAACTTAATAATCATATCCACCATCTTCACTTGGTGATGGACTTCTTACAGGACTTGGGATATAGGGTTCAGAGGAGTCATCATCTTGAAACATACTCCTTGAGGCAGACTTTCGCATAATTTCCTTTTGCTTAAGACATAAGAACTTCCTCCTCTCTGGATTGTATTTGATGAGGTCCTCCATCATGAAATTAATTTCAAACCTAGCTTCCTCCATATCTGAGATTTCCTTCATTTGCAAACGCATTTGAGCCGATTCTTCTTCGCGAGCGCTATGGGTTTCGTTCAATTTTGCAATTCCGGTAGCAAAGTGTCCACTCATCGGATCTTGGGACTTACCTTTTCTCTTTGCTTCCTTTTGCTTATCTATTCCCAAGGGCCTTGCAAAAGAAGGAGACGGTGTCATTTCATCGACACCTTCATCTCTAGCATTTGTCTGTGCGGCTTCACGTTGAAATAATCTTCCCCATTGTTGGTCTGCATCAGTTCCCCACCTCGGACAATCCTTGAGGACGTTCCAAGCATGTTGCAACTTAAAAACTTGATTTTTTGGTGTTACTCTTGTCTTTTAAATTTCCATTGCTTTGTCACCCTATGCAAAAAATACATAATAATAATTAGTTGCAAAATAATATTATGTACATGACAAATAAAATATCAAGAACAAAACTCACAATTTCTATAGCACTCCTTCCACTAGCCATGCCAACCACGGCTCTCTCCAAGCTTCCCTTCCATAAAGTGCATGCTTTGTTGATAGTCTTCCATCGATCATAAACACCACTACTGTCCCGCCTGCCACCATTGCAATTTTCTTGAAACTTTGCAATGATTTTATCCCACAAAACCTTCTTATTTTGATTTGTGCCAACTGCACCATCTTCGCTAACAAAAACCCATGCCAAGCATAAAGCAACATCTTCCTCACAGATCCAATTATGACCTCTAATATGCTCTCTTGCCATGTCGAACAATTTGGAAATGGAAAGAAATGGTAGAAAGATAAATTGGAAGAATTGTAGGAGAAAATTGAGTTTTGTGTGGATGTTTGAACAAATACATAGGTATTTATAGAGTTTTTGGGTGAATTTTGAGTTAAATAATTTTTTTTTTAATTATTTTAACCATTGGATTTAAATTTAGGCTGTTAGATCTTCTTTTTTTTACCGTTAGATTTGATTATATTCAATCTCAGTCGTTGGATTCAATGTATTTTAAAATAACATATTCTAAAAAAAATAAATTTGAATCTGGACCGTTAGATCAACCAACAGTCCTTAAACCCTAGCTATTGGATGTCAATTATAGCCGTTGGGATGATGATGTTGGCCGACAACCAGCTGACTGCGGGGCCCACCCCTATCGGGAAAGCATTGTAGGCCCAGTGCGTGGGGCGTGTACTCGTGTGGGCGGGCCGAGAGTGGCCCAAGTTCCAACGAGTCCATTCGCATGGGGGGGAATTTGGCCCAGCTTTGGCATTTGGCTTTTAGCCCAAAGATTTGGCTTGGGTTGGAGCGGGTTTGGGGGAGAAATAGGGGGAAATTTGGCATTTAGCCCATTGTTGGAGATGGTTTGAGAGATGAATAGAAATATAATACACAATTCCAAAAGCATTCTCTTCTTGGCACCAGTGTTAGGTCGTAAAAATAGGAAAAAACCTAGTTGTGCACGATAGCACTGTCGCAGCTCAATCGTGTTTCGTGCACCGATCTTTGATCAGCGAGCGACTATTGTCGTTGCTAATTATTGATTAGCAAGTGACTATTGTCGTTGCTACTCCTCTCTGAATTCAAAATGAACAGTAAACTATGTGTGCCATTGCTGCCTATATTTCTTTGAAATCAATTTCAATCAGAAACCCATAACCTAATCATTAGTTTGTTGTTGAGTTAACTGCCAACCACCGCACTGATGCATACGCACTGACGCATACGCACCAGACTTGAACCACTGCCACCGACCCTCTATTAACATCGTCATTATTATCACACGGCTGCCAGGAACAACCACATGCATCCTACCGACCCAAATCGTCTTTGACCCCGACCCGACTGCATCCAACTACTACAACCCAACCAACTAGACCTATTGCCTTGCATCGTTGCAGTCCGACCCGACGTTGCAGTAGACCATGAACGCATCGTACCATCATGTTTTCTGCAATCACTTGTCACCGTATCTCAACCATGGACTCTAGAATCACGCTCGCACTAGACTTGTTGCACACCACTAGAAACCAGCAAATCCCATAATCGTCGTCTTCATGCATTGATCCATTCTTGTACGTGTTCTCACAAAAAAAAGAAAGAAGAAAGAAACACACCCCGGCCTGCGAATAATGACTATTCATGAGCTATGGTGTGAGCCATATCTTAGCTATAGAAATAAATTCTACAACCAAGATATGGTGGAAAATAAAATAAAATTATAATGATTACACCATACAACATATAACAAATGTTACATACAAATTTATCAAATACGCAGCGGAATAAAATAGTGTACAAATTAATTCACAAAAAAAAAACTACCAATTAGATGATAATTAAATTGTAACAATTCTTTCAAATGCATGAAATATATGCAAATGAGATGGATGAATGTATTCACTCTCTTCTAATCCCGCTAACACATACCTAATGCACCCAAGCATGCACGTTCCACCCATGCTTATACCACTTGGCTCCGAGTACGTTAGAATATGAGTTAACTCCCGTTCATCCCTTAAACCCAATTTTTGTAATTAAACTCTCAGTTTCCATTTTATTAAACAGGAACATCCCCCAATGCCCAGTGGTATATTCAAGCCTTTCCCTCGACGCCTGACATATACAAGATTTCATCATTCAATTTGTATACTCAAGCCCTGCACCCTATGCCTGACATATACAAGGTTCATTATTTTATATTCAACGCAAATTTCAGCTCTTGAATATCCTCACAACTCAAACACTTTACAAGACTCAACACAACTTTTTTTCTTGCTTTGCAATGCATATGTATATGTCATGTTCACATAGATATCAATACTCACTTCTTCTTTTTTAACAAGCCTGTAAGCTTCAACCTAAATCAAATTGATTAGTAACAAGAGTAATATAAGCATAATATTGACAAAATAATAATCTTTAATGCAAATGATAAGCAATATGTTACCATTTCCTCCCTCTTGTTCTCTTCACCACTTCCCTTTCCTCTTCTTTAATATATCTGAAATTCTACATACGTAGTAGGGTTCAGATTGCTGAAAAAACTTCCATGGAAGGGAGAGAAAGAAACTGGAGATGTTGGCCATGCAAAGAGGTTCACAGAGAAGGCTAGCTTAACCGAACATCAACTGTTCAAACTGGGGTACAAGTCAGTACATAGATTGGATTGTCGTGGGTTTTGGATATGTTATAGAGGAAATGATAAGGAACAACTTTTGTGAAGGAAGTGTTTTGATCGGAGCTATGAAAAATGGGGTTTTGGTACTCATAACATAGCTGTCCAGTTTTCTGCAGGATTAGAGACTAAGTTGGTATTTCAAACATATTGGACGATCGCACTGTTGGATTTTCCTGAAATTTGGATATATCATGTTACAGAGATAGACGAACAACTCTCATGAAGAAAGTACTATGATATAATCTATGGATGTTGGTTTTTTGATCTGTTAAATAGGCTGGACGAATTTCTAGTTTTTGGATATCTTTCTTTTGATAGATGAAAATGACGGTGAGTTTTGTGGAGATTTGTTGGGTAAGGTCTCATGTATTTTTTCTGGGATTTGTCTCACACTTTTTGTACATCATTCTTAAGGAAAATAAATGGAGATTTTCGATAGTTTGGTGGAAGTGCTTCTCATGGGAATGATCTCCAAAATATATAAACAACATATGATTTAAGTGGTTCGCCAAATCAACTACATTCACTGGGGTTTGCTTTCATTGTATTTCACTATATATACAAGGGACTTACAAATACAGCGAAAGATGGCTTAAAGCCTTAAGAACATTTTAAAAAAATATAAGAAGGTAATATGAAAGGGAGAATAGCTTTCTTGTTGGAGTGGTTCTTTCTTCTTCTTTTTTCTTCTTCTTCCTCTCTCTTTTTCTCCATGTCTTCCATTTGTGAGTGCACCTTCCTTGATAGAGATTGCATGACATCTTCCTCTCCAAAGAATCTCCACAAGTGTGCCAATAGAAAGAAAACAAGTGTTGTGCCAATCATTAGACATAAAATGTGTTCCAATAGAAACACACCAAATGTTAACCTAATTATCACCATGAAATGTGTTCCAATAATAAGGCAACAAATGTTGTCCTAATCCTTAGCAATGAAATGTGGTCCAATAGAAAAACAACAAATGTGAAGTTAATCAATATCATGCAAGGTGAACAAACACTTAAAAGCCACGTCCAAAGTCTAAGGGATATGAATCCCACCTCCTCAAATTTTGGAGGGATGAATCATCACCAAACATTTAACTCTTAGATTCCTAATGAATACAAACTTGCCAACTCACTCTTAAGTCAACTTCCACCTTCACATTTAGAGTGGTGAGTAATCACCAAATCATTAACTCCTAATGTTACAAACTCTCCACCTCATCTTTGAGAGAAAATAACAAAACAAAACTACTCATTTAGTCCAACCTCGAACTCTCGGCCCTTTGTAAGGAAAATCAAACCAAACTCATATAATCACTGACACACCCCGATCAAGATCAGGGCATGCTGGCCGTCACGTGGAAGTGACGTAACCATGTGCACAGTGCGGAAGCTAATAAAATAATAATGGAAATAGTAATACGAATAAATAAAAACTGGTTTACATAAAGTAATAACAAGTGCAAGCATAAGTGCGACACTAAGTTCAGAGCATAAAGCCTAAAGTAGTCCTAAAGAAAAAGACGCAACAACAGTACACCCGAAGGTGGCCCTACGCTGGTGATCGTCTGTCAGAAATGCCGGGAAAATCCTCTGGGAAACCACCAAACGTGCTAGCCAACTAGAACCTGGAGGGGCGCAAAACAAAAGCGTGAGTGGGCAAAAACAAAGCTTTTCGAAAACCATTTAATAAATGAGTTCTAACCCTTCGCCGTAAAACCTGTATACTTCCCAGAAAATAGATATATATATATATATATATATATATATATATATATATACACCAATCATGCTCAAGAATATGCTATGCCAAACCTCAAAATGAAATGTAAGCGCTCAGGTAAAAGTCATATCAACATCATATAAACTGTCAGCTGGAGTCACCTAACGTGACCTGTACGGCTGAATCTAGAGCTCAAATCTCAATCTCACTAACTAGACCTGCACACGAGTCGGAACCACCTAAAGTGGTCTGTACGACAGGCATGGGTGTAATGTATAAATACGCTCAAGTGCTACGATCACGTGAAGGCTGGGCGAATAATCGTGGGTCACCTACGAGTCGGAACCACCTAATGTGGTCTGTACGACAAGACTGTGCACCTAAATTGGATCCAAGCTGAGCGTGTGGTGCGGGAGGTGAACATCACGTGAAGGACTGTGCCCAACTCTGGGCGGGATCACTAACACCGGGGGTGCGGGTTATGAGCTCTCTAAGCATCTCGAATCACTACTGAATGTAAACATGAATAACACTTACCTGTCACTTACCTGTGCGTCCGCAGCACCAAATATACATATATATAAACAATTAACAATGCAACTAATCATGCATAACAACCGGCAATATAAATATGGCATATAAAGAATAAACGTTTTAAATTCACTTTCTGGAAAAAAAATATAAGTATATAGGTATATACGGAAAACCAAAAGACCACTCACTGGTATGTGGAAGGGTTGTAACCCCCTACCTCGAGTGACCACGCTCGTCCTCGGGATAGGATTCACCTA